TTCGAGAAGATCCTTTACAGGTACGTAGTCTGCCACTTCGGAGCCAAGTTCTCGGCCTACTGGTGGCAGCGAGTGGGGGGCCTCATAACCAGGATAGCCCACCATGCCCTAGCCTTTGCACCGCATAAAGCCTGGCTGTATGTTGACGACCTCCTGACAGCCCTGCTCCGGGCGCCTCGAGCATCGGCTTGCTCATGTGGGCAACCGCCTTAAGCAAAGTCCTAAGAGCCCACGTCGCCCCTCTGTAAAGTGTCCTCAACAGCCCTCCGGGGAGCAACTGCTCTATCGCGCCACGCATGTGGCCAGCCTTTTTGCGTAGCCTGGACTCCAGAGCAGTCATCTGCCGCCTTATACCCGGTGTCAACCTTCCCATGAAGGCACGAATCATAGAGGTCGGTAGCCGACCTGTGCATTGCAAAGCCGACCTCCCTGCGCAGCCCAAGTCTTCGGGCCCTACCTGGGTCCGCCTCTCCGACCCAACTTGCCCCGAGATCAAGCTCACCACAGCAGCCCAGGACAGCCTCCACTGGCTGCTTCCCCGCATCGAGGCGATACCTACTACTAGCCTTTCTCTTCCGCCTCTCATGCCTTGCCTGGCCAGAGCTGACGCCATGGCGGAAGGAGACAGGGTGGGCATCCGGGGTTGGATCACCACCAAGCAGAGCATGGCGTGGTTTGCTGAGTCCTGGAACATGGACGAAGTCAGACACACATGGCCCTTCTTGACCAAAGACGCCCAGAAGTGCATAGCCTGCTTCGAGACACTAGCCCAGCTAGCCCTAGCCATGACAGCCAGGGAGCACCACGCCTTTTCCCAATTCGCTGTGTGCTTGCCTTCTCAGTTCTCAGAGTAATAACACGCCTTCCGAAGCAGGGGTGAACAAATTGTTCACGACCAGCTGGCCACTCTCGCAGTTCCTTCAGCTGATAGCCTCTTGGTCGTCCTGCCATGGTGTCGACCTTCAAGTATCCCACGTGGCAGGTGCCCACAACCAGTGGGCAGATGACCTTAGCCGGGGGCGCCTCCAAGCCTTTAGCCATAGACCGCAAGAGAGAGTGCGCATCACATTGGAGCGACTTGCCTCAGCTGCCTCCCATGCGTCTTGGGCCGGCGCCCCTGACGTCCCTAGCCCTCTTCTACCGCGCCCGGACTGACCAAGTCAGCCCTCTCGGACGACAGAGCCGCAGCGCAAAAATGTCCGCCTTGCCTTTTTAGCCGATAGTGGAGTGATCCGCGACTTGTGCCATTTCACGACTAGCCCAGGTCCAGCTCCACCGCCCGCGGTGGGGGATTACTTCTTCCTGCCTTGTTTACCGGTTGGATCTGTCCCTAAAGTGTGGGTGTTTTCCTACTTGACCGATCATGCCTTTTGCATCGGTCAGCCTTCGGCTAGCCGCGAGCCTACAGATCCAACACGGTAAAAAGGAGAGCTGAAGTGCTAGAGCAGTGCAAGCCTACCTAAAACGTTACCTGTTTTGTTTCAGGAATGTTTTCGGAGCTTGCGAATCTCTACACGCAACATGCATACATGCCTTCGTGTAGTCTGGCTCTAGCACTTGCAGTTCTCGAAAAGCCCTGCGCGCCCACACCTGTACCTGCCGTACTTGCGCCTTGGGCCTCCCGTGGAGCATCCAGGGCCTTGGTCATCGGCATGCAAAGCCATTCCGATTGCCTCAGCAGATATTGGGCTGCACAAGCCAGCCTTCCGATCTCGCCTGAGGTCGTTGCCTTGCTGCCATCAGCCTCAGCCTCAACAGGTCTACAGCTCTCAGCAGACAGTAGCAGTATCTCGCAGACATCCAGCCGCTTGCCGCCCAGCCTCGACCCTTTCGGTTTGCCCTCCCTACAGGTGCTCTTCCAGGACACCTTCATTGCCTACTGAAAGCTTCGCTGACTTCTCACAGAGCGCCTCAGTCTGGTTTCACGCCTTCTGGCCGCCCGGCCAGCTTGCCGTGCCTGCCCAGGGACCGCCTCGGCCCTACGCCTAAAATTGGATACGCATCAGCCTCCTGCCTTAAATGCTCTAACATATGGAGCCTTTTGCCTCAAGCTGCATCAGCATTTGTAGATACAGACGATCACATGCCTTTCTCACTAATCTTTTCACAAAGTCTAGCCGAGGGGGTATTTTCCTACTTGACCGATCATGCCTTTTGTTTCGGTCAGCCTTCGGCTAGCCGCGAGCCTACAGATCCAACACGGTAAAAAGGAGAGCTGAAGTGCTAGAGCAGTGCAAGCCTACCTAAAACAAGGAACTCTGTGGAAACCTCGCAGAGAGGTCAGGAGTAGCCTTCCAACAAGGAACAGCGACAGCCATGGAGAGCGCGAGTAGTTCAAAGACACCGGCACAGGTACAGAAGGAACTCGCGTTGCTCACAAGGAAACCCTTGAGGAAGTGAAGAAGTCGCAGGAACAAATGGCCGAAGTACACGAGTCACTTCGCAAGAACACAGAGGAAACAGTGAAGCTGAGAAAGAGCCAGGAATACGTGGCAATGTGCGTGAAGACACTTACCACCCAGGTACAAGATGTCAAATTTTCTGTACAAGAGATGCAGGAACAGAACGACCGTGAGCGAGCCATCGCTCAGGACGAGATGCGGCAGGTATTCATTGCCTGTGACATGTTGAAGGAGCAGGTACAGGAACTCATGAACGACGTCTACTACCAGGTCAACCAAGACGGTCAGGAAGCAAGCGCAGAAGACAAGGAACAGGAAGCAAGAGGCCGGCGTGAAGAAGCAGAGTTGAGAAGAGCAGGACACGGCCCAGAAACAACATCGAGAGCTACGTCACCTACATCCACACCAAGGAAACAAAAAAGAAAGGACGGTCAAGGAACAGAGCCAGACCTCGAGGAGTGGTCTGACAGAGCCTACTTCGACAGGATCCTGGAGCAAGACCAGGACCAGCAGGACAACGGCGAGAACGAGAACGAGGCCTACACGCAAAGCTACGTTGGAGGAGATCCCGGGGAGTACCGGAAGAAGAAGAAGGAAAGGAAGAGAAGAAGGTAGAAGAGGAAGACGAAGAGGAGAAGGAAGAAGAAAGGAAGAGGAAGATCCGTGAGATCAACGACAGGAGCAAGGAGAAGGCAAAGGAGAAGGAAAAGGAAGCAGCAAACTTTCCATACCCCTACGCCTACGGCAACGAGTGGAAGGAGTACACCGAGAACGGCGACATCTACAAGCAGCACAGGGTGACAGGAGAGAAGATTTGGCTTGACAAGGACCACCAGTACAAGCACCAGAAAGGAACCAAAGGAAAGGAGAGCAAAGGAAAAGGAAAAGAAGGAAAAGAAGGCAAAGGCAGAGGACAGCCAAAGGAAAGAGCAGAGTCAACAGGATTTCGACCCCGTGACGATGATGATCGCAAGTACTGGGAAGAGCAGGACAGGATCTCAGAGGAACAGAAGAAAGCAAAAGCAGCAGCAGAAGCAAAGAAGAAGGAAGAAGAGGAGAAGATCGCAAGAGCATGCAGAGTGCTAGAGGAAGCAGCAGCAGAACAGGAGAGAAGAGACAGAGAAGAGGAAGCAGAAGCAGCAGCCAAAGCAGAAAAGGAAGAAGCAGCCGCAGCAGCCAAAGCAGAGAAGGAGAACAAGGAGCAGGAAAAGAAGAGAAAGGAGAAGGAAGCAAGGAAGAAGAGAGAACATGACCAGAAGGAGTCAGCAGCGTACATCGCCAGGAAGGAAGCAGAGAGGAAGGAAGCAGCAAGGAAGGAAGCAGAAAAGAAGGCAGCAGCAGAAGTGGAAAAGGCACTTGAGGAAGGAGACAGGATCCAGAAGCTGGAAAGAATGATGGAGGAAATGATGAAGGAAAGGAAAGAGGATAAGGCAAGGATCGCAAGCCTTACACAGGAACTTGAAAGCAGAGGATCGGCAGCCGGGTCGCCGGCACCCACAGAAGCAGAAGCAGACACAGCACCACCAAGGAAAGCAGGAAAGGAAGAGGAAAAGGACAAGGACAAGGAACTTGAAGTAAAGGGACCAGTGAACGAAGACTCTTTTCAGAAAGGAAAAGGTCGTTGGAGAGCACCAAGGAAACTGGTTTGCAGTCTACAGCTTCGGGAACAAAAGGCACCAGTGGAAGTGGAACGAGAACGCGAAGTTTTGGTACTGGTACTCAGGAACAAGAGAAGAAGGTTGGAAGAGAGGATCCTGCGACAACAAAGGAAAAGAGAAGTGCGAATCCCAGGCAAAGCAGCTCAAGGACTACCTCGAGAACAAAGGCAAAGGAAAGGAAGCAAGAGGAAGCCAGGACCCAGAAGTCGTGGTGGTCGACGACGAAGAAAAAGACCAAGGAACAGTGAACTTTCAGTGAGGCCAGAAAGCCGAGGAAAGAGCAGTGAAGCAGCAACACAGGAACCGTGGCATAGCCCTTTTTGTTTCTGTGGTGATCTAGGTAAGCAGGAACAGTTTTCTGTACAGTGTAGCAACCTTGGAGAGGATTGCGAGTGAACGGCAACGGTTGCGAAGAGGAGCAACTTTTGTTTTGAGTGGAAAGGAACTGCAGCGTGTTTACTGTTTGTCAAGGAAAAGTCGGAGTCACCTCAGTCGAGGAACTGTCGCTAACTCCGAAGGCGGGGTGTTAAACATTCTGCCAGGAACAGTAACACCGCTAGTGCAGTGTAGCTAATGTCCAGGAACAGCCGAGTCACGTCCGTGACGCACAGGCTCGAGACCCAGCGGACACAGCGACCGTACAAGGAAAAGTGACCGCTTCAGTTTGTGAGTAGGAACCCTTCGTGAAGCCCGTTCTTTAACAGGGAACCAAGCGGGTCAGAATAAGACTGTCAAGCCAGAGCGTTTCTGAAGAGTTGCAGCAATCGACCATCGGCACGACATTTAGGGTGTCATAATGTCATGTTGCAGCTAAGAAACCCCGCTTGTCACCATGTCGGGGGCTGGTGTGAGGTTTCACCAATCTGCATCTTATCCAGCAACAATGGTGTTTTCAAAGCTAGACATGCCACTCTTCCATACCGTGTCTTTGTGCCGCCAGGGTGCACCTCCTCCCCCGCCGGCGAAGGGTGCTGGCAAGGCCTTGCAGTTCAGCCTGGCGTTGCATGATGTGCGGTCTGCCGAGGAGAGGCTTTGGGGGCACTTTCGCATAAGCAAGCACCCCACTTACTACGTTGAGTTGTAACTCGTGTGTCATGTTCTCCTGGCTAATGTGCAGGAGAATGATAAGGCACATTGCAGTCGATTGCAGGCACCGCATGCGAGTAGTTGACAACCTGCACCTCAACCAACGAGGTTTTGGCACAACAGTACAGGTAACGCGGACAATACTCCTCACGAGTTATGTCGTGTCGTATTCAATTTGACTTGTCTGACAAGTTCATGTATTCTATCAGTTCACGAGCTCGATTGCAACAGCACCAAGTATTGTGTTCTCATGTTTTGACAATCCCGGTCTCATGGCGACTTTCGTTGCACAATCCCCAACGAAATATCATGTCTCGGAGTATGTTCCTAATCTTTTTAAGCGGTTGCCTTGTAGTCTGTGCAGTGCAACATCAAGTAGAAGTGCATCTTTTCGCAGGATCTTGTCATGCCGTGATCTTTGTTGTGTCATCCCTATGCAGCTTTGTCGAGGTGTGCATTGTGCTCGTTTGCTGTGTTGTGCACTTTCGAAGCGTTTGCTGTATACATTCCTTACAACTTGCACGCAGCCTCCCGTGCGACCTTGTATTGTTGCCAAACCCGCCTTGGCTGATGGCTGTGGGCAGAATTTGTGCAAGCTGAGTTGTTTGGCAAGGCTTCGGCTGAGGCACCAGTTCAACTCGTGCTTTAATGTGCTCGAAGGTAGTTTTCCCTGCAGTTGCGGTGGCTGAGTCTGGTTGTCAAATTTGTGATTCGCATGTGCTTCGCAGGCTGGTCGTGCTGGCGTTCCAGCTTTGCCGATAGGCTTGTCACCGTTTGAGAGGACAGACTGGCCAGATCCAGTGGCATGATTTTGGCACAGTGCCACATGTAGACAATCTGGCAGCATTCGCTTACGCTGTTAGATCCTCAACCCTCCACGGCGGGATCAAGCACAGGTCGTCGGCTTTCTTTGAAGCCGCCTGGAGCTCAAGTTGCTCTTTCGCAAGAGGCTTGCCCTGCCAGTCAGGGACAGTATCACGAGAGCCGCGAAAGCTGAGACCTGTCGTGTGACCTTGTTAAAACAATTTAACACATTTTCGGAAGGCCAAGACGTTGAACCGCCGGGTCCCAGGAGCTCTGGAGAGGCCCAGGCCTTTTGCCGCGCGAACACAGCCCGGGGGTGCGAGGACGGCAAGGCGGCAAGGGCGGAGCGCTCTTCTATTGCCCTGCATCGCAGAGCCGGAAGCTCCGGGCAGGAAACTCACGAGGTCACGAGGGGTATAGCGCCTCACCAGAGCATCTGCGTCTTGCAGGAAGGTGTGCGCCAAACGGCCTTGGCGAGTGCCAGGCCGACAAGAGAGCCCTGTAGAAACTTTGGCATTGCACTGACACGTGTTGAATTTCTGAACCCGAATCGAACCCTGCACGTAGGCGGCGGCTAGCTTCGGAGGCTCCGATGGCTGGCACCCCAGGATATGTGTCTGAGACCCCTTAAAGGACTGGCAGTGCAGATCCCCGAGTTTAATCAACATCCTGTCGTAACGGGGATAAAGGATCGAGGTTTAGCAAAGACAAAAGCTACCCCGAAAAGGTAAGCTTTTCTGGCCTTTCTCTCAAATGGTTTTTAGCTATGTTTCAGCATCTTTTCACTTTTCTTTTACCTCTGCCGATGGTAAACGCTATGTCAGCTACGTTTCTTCGCAAACTTGGGCCGGCAAACCTTAGAGCAGTCTTAGAGCTGACAACAGATTGCACTTTGCCTTTTCGTATCACTTGTTATTGTCACCTGCACCGCAGGTGTCACCTGAGGATGAAAAACACGAATTAGTTGTTAGTAGCCCTAAGCCCTTGAACGCCGGAAGGGAAGCCCTTTTTTGCAGCCGCCTTCCCTGTCGGACGGAGGAGCTTCAGCTGGACTTGATGGAACTTCATGGCGCCTTCGCGGCCAAGCCGCCAAAGGCAACGCGAGGGTTGGGGAGGTGGTGTTCTGCCCCATGTGTGTTTTTGATTTATGTGGGATTCCGTAAGTTGTAGAAATTACCAAGGCCCACGGCAGACGGCTGCGCCGTGTAGCATGAGCCTGCATGAGGTGGCATGACATGACACGGCTCAGAATAAAAGGGCTCAATCTCACAGCCAGTTGCAGAAGTTTCACGCAGTGAGGCCGCCAAGCCGAAGAAGAATCAAGAAAGCCGGAAGGAGCTTCTGCGATGTGCTTAGCAGCGAGATTCATCAGTTTTCCAGGTCAGACCGTTTAGCAGAAACATGTGAAGTGCATGCCCATCCGCGTTTATTCTGGTTCCGATTCTACCCAGTGCCCAGCGAGCCCCCAGCTTTCTGTCAGCTCTGGCTTTTCGGATTCCCGATTGCCCCGAATGCAGATCTGAAAATCTTGCAATGACCTAGGCCTCGCGGTGTTGCTCAAAACATTGCGCGGACCCTGTTTGCCGGAAAACGTTGTCATCGTGAGGCCTGTTGTTCTTGATGGCATTTGGTTTGCCAAGATGCAGTGAGATTTTTTGTGGAGCTTGTGGCTACTGGCCATTCTAAGGCAATCGCACTAGCAAGGTCGCAGCCTCATTATCTGTCTTGTGTTGCGATGGGCTTCGAATTTTTGCCGGGGTTTGCTGAAAGTTGGAAGGGCAGGTCACCGGAATGAGACTGTCGTAGACTTGGGCTGAATCGGCCACTGAGTCCATAGCAGTTCTGCAGCCTCAAGAGGTAAAACCTCGAGCTCGGAGATGAAACTGCTGGGCGACACTGCTCATGCTGCCTCTACTAGCCTGTCTAAGCAGGGCTCCCGCAGGTTCTCAGCGACAGTTGTGGGCCGCAAGGACCGGCAGTCCAATCTGGTGCGGCGGGCACTCCACAGTGACTCTCAATTTCATCGTGACGGAGGTGCCAGGAAATGCACGTGAAGGTCGAGGTTTCCCGCGTCATGGCTATGGAGCAGGGCTCCTAAGGTCCGCCGCCCGCACCAAAACACAGACTCTTGGTTTATGTGTGCAGAAACGTGGGCCAACACCGTGTTTTCAAATCTCGATATTTGGTTGCTTGTGGCTTTGCGTTGCTCTCTCTCTCTCTCTCGCTCTCTCTCTCTCTCTTTCTCTCTCCTTTGTTTGGCCCTCAAGACATCTCAAGACTCAAGTCCGCACTTACAGTGTGAATGGCCATGCTACTTGACGACTGCCTTGACATTCAGGAGGATTTCGGCCATGCTGCAAAGCACGTGAGGATGCACAGTTCAGCTATTCCAACCAGAGCCGGTGAACCGCACAACTGATTCTGGATTCTCACCTCTTCCTTTGAGGCTGGGAGCCAGCGGTGCCGACTTGGTGGAGGCGCTCAGGCCGGAGTGCTCGAGTACTCGAGTTTTCAAGACTTGAAAACCCTAAGCCCCAAGGTGTTGGCGGTGAATCCCCTCTAAAGCAGTCCGTACCGACACCTCAGCCTGCCTTCCGGATACATGAGACTGTCATGCAGATGGAAAAGGGGTTGCGGAAACAAAATGCCTCCCAAAGTCCTAAGTCCTACACTATTAAACTCTATGGCCGAGAAGAAGAAGAAATGAGGGCCCGTGCGATCGATGCCTCGGGCCGGTGGCTTGACCGGTGACTAGTGTCTGCGGAGTATCCGGAAAGTCTCGGATCAGCTCTGTTAGTACTGTTAGTAGTCGGGATTTAAGGTGTGGGGATTCACAGTTTTAGGGGGGTTAAGGGATGCAAGTTTTAGGAACACTTGCACGGTCGTTGATGGTCCAAGCTCTCGGAAGGACAGGATGCGCAGCGGGGGTCTCGATGGCTCGGTCTCTACGGAGCTACAATGACCCTCAAAGCTGAGCCTCTTCTTTTGCCAATCCACGCCGGAGAGTCCCTGACCTGCGACGAGGCAGACAGGTGATTTCACCCGCTTGCCCTGGTTCCTCCTCCTCATTCGGAAGGAAACTGTGCTTGTCCCATTCCTGAACTCAATGGTTCGAGACCTTCAAGCTTGCGGCGTCTAGCTGACATCATTGCCATTGCGGGATCTTGCACAATCTTCCATGAATGCTTCATGCGGTAGTACAACACCATTTCTTTGCTGTTGTGCTTGGTGAGAGCATTTGCGAGCTGTGCCTCCGAGTGCACCCATCTCAAGATCAATCCGTGGTTCTGTTGAGCCTCCTTGAGCGATAGCAACTCTATGTTCGTTTTCTTTTCTGCACCCTTGATCAGCAACACCTCAGTTTCAAGATGTTTCAAGTTGCTGGAGTCCGGCACCAAACAACCTTTCACCTTTTCAACCGTGAGGTCCGGATGACGAACCTGAACGTTTCCAAGTGTAAGCTCACTCCACTGAAACCTGGCAAAGTAAAGTGCGTCCTCGCCATTGATGGCGGTGCGCCTCAGCAGTGCCTTGGGATTTGCAAGATCTATCAATGTGATTTGAATGCCACGCGATGGGCGTGACAAATCCCATCTCGCCAGCTAACATGCTGGTAGGGCCCAAGCCTCTGAAGATGCCCTGAGTAGAGCCTCCGTGCCGCCTGTTCTGACTGGCCGCGTCCACCCACCCGAACAGCGTCAAGCTCTGTTCTGGGGAGAACTTGTGAATCAGCATCTGGTGGTCCTTTCGGGCCTTCGCCTGGTACGCAAGTAGGTTCGCCTCAGTGATTGTGTTCACTGTGCTCCCGGGGATCTCCGAGAGTAGTAGACTCACCTCAGCTGACAAGTGACGTGCAATTTGCTGTGCGTGTCACGACAGAACTCCCAAAAGAGCTCGGAGTTGGCTTGGTTCTCTCTTAGTTGTTGTGGCTTCCTTTGCTTTCCGACGTGAAGATGGAATCGGGATTTCTTTGACTCCTTCCACTGGTTCAAGGCAAGCCGTATCCCAATCACCCCATTCGAACTTCTGCTTGATCTTTTCGGGATAGCTTGCCACTCCACATCGTCGGCGCTACCACGTGTCCAGAGATCATAATGCGCAGGACGCCGTGAGGCCTCCAGACCCAGGCGCAGGCGTCGAAGTAAATTTTTTCCAAGCCTAACTCTTGCAAATAAGCCGCTACCGTGTTGTACC